TGGAGCGCATTGTGCGAGCTGTGAGGGTGCTCAGCTGAAGAAGTTTCCGAAGCACGAAATCAAAATATTGGAGGAGCTTCTTAGGCCCGGGTAGCTTCGTCTTTGACCAGGTTTGGGCCTTTCGGTTCATGCTTTTGTTTGTTCCGTGTGACTAAACACAACATTGCAACGTGGGTGTCCTTCATCAACTTTACGTGGATCACCCACGTACGCATTTCCGTTATGTGGGAACTAAACCTCACTAGTATATGGGTCAAAGGCTTGCACCTGTAAGCACAATGTCAGAAGCACAGGCGATATTTCTATTTGTTCTAGCATATCTGTCTAATGCGTATGTGTTTATCTGCGCATTGCGTTTAGGCCGCGGCACAGCCACATTTGATGGAACTGCGATAGCCTCGGCTGTGGTTCATGAGCTGACCAAGAATATTGGCTGTCGCACGCTGTTCTCCACACATTATCACTCACTTGTGGACGAACTGGCTTCCAACCCTGCTGTCCGACTTGGTCACATGGTAAGTCTAACAGTTTTGGAATTTCGGAACCCCGGCACAACACACTTTCTAATTCTTCAAAAACAGTTCTAAGTTTTGAAATTCATTTTATCTAACCGGTTTCTGCTCTGTAGAGCTTCATCAGAGATATGAATGTGAATAAAATTAGAACTGTGGTTTTGTACCAGTAACAAAGCAAAAATGAAACTATGCAATGCAGTTGATACAATGTAAACTTTGTACAAGTGCAGCTGAGTACGGCGTAATATTGCAAAAAAAGGGGGGGGGGGTCGATTTTTGCAAGGGGGTACTGTGGTGCAGCGATATTGCATGCGGGTACGTACAGCAGTGCAGCACTATTGCAGGTGTGTACAGAAGTGCAATAATGTTGCAAGTGGAAACAGCAGTACGTTGGTACTATATTCTATAGGTCAGTAATATAGTGTGTTGCACTATGAAGGTCATTATTGCAAGCGGGAAACAAGAGATTTTTGGTGGGAAATGAAATTTCATTTCCCACCAAAATGCAGAGCATATTGAGCTCTGCCAAGAGAACAAACAAGTTAGTAGAAAAGCTGTTTTGTCTTTCTAAAGACAATCTTTCCGTCTTTGAAAAAACATTGTTTGATTAAATTTCTATATTGCTTGCTATTATGTACAAAGTGAGGGTGAAATGCTGTAGAGAAAACAATGCTATCATCACAACTAGGAGAAGTTTTTGGTTTGATAGTTTTGCACACAGCAGGCTGAACGTCACAGAAAACACTCATCAGGAAGTTGGGTGGGTATCCTCTTCGGCAGAGGCGTGTCCAGAACAGACTTCTTATGGCTAGTACATCAGCCATGTTGGTGTTTGTGCGATTATAGCGTAGAAGTTCAGCTTTGATAAATGCTCTGAGGTTTGCTTTCGGGTGGTCCGAAGCAAACGGTATGTAAAGATAAGCGTTCCGTGGTTTCTGGAAAGTTCGAAACTTAAACATACAGAGCTTATCATCAGTAGTAAGTTCCTTGAAAATGTCAAGGTCTAGAAAAATACAAAAGGAGGCAGGAGGTGTCCAATTTAGCTTAATCGTAGGGAGCTCGCTATAAAAGGACTGTTGAGGCTGCTTAAAGCCTACTGATGCATCAATTACAAGTATTAAAATTAATCATCAATGAATCGACTGAAGAAATGAATGGATGTACTGAACATAGCAATGGTTTTTCTTTCATGAACAAAAAGGAAAACGTTCAAGTCTCCGAAGTTGGTGTCGTTTAGCTATGACATGTGTATTTTGGTGTTGTGAACAGTGATACAGTCCCTGTTTACTGATTCACTGGTTGGTCATCCCTGCTCTGCACCTGTATTCCGTGCTTTGTGACTTTCATCTTTCCTGGAGATTCACTTGTACCGGTATCACGTGTTGTTATGCAAGTTCTACATTCACACCGTGATGCACTCTCCACTATGGTGTTTTGGTGCTGGTGCTACTGCTGCTAATTTTCAGGCATGTATGGTGGAGAATGAAGATGAAGAAGACACCAGTAAGGAAACAATCACATTCCTCTACAAGTTCATCGCCGGCGCCTGCCCGAAAAGCTACGGTTTCAACGCAGCTCGCCTGGCTGGACTGTCTGACGAGGTAAGAAAATGCTGCTGTGTGCTGTGTTGTGTGGAAAGGAATGTTATTCATGTAGTTATGCTGAATCTAACAACTGTCGTGGTACTGTAGCAGGGTACGTGTTTGTGTAATATGTACATACGGAATTTCTCCGAAGAACCTGGGGTGCGAATTTCAAAAACGGAAAGAACAGACTAATTAAAAGTGGGGAGGCTTCCTGCAGTTTCATAAACAGTTAACCCTTTAAGGACCATATGACGGATATATCCGTCATGACTTTGCAGTGCACTCAAATTTTCGTAACTCGGCTTTCCCTTGACGGAACCGGGCAATCGAAAGGTCTATTTGCATTACAAAGTTCTCAGCTATCTGCTCGAACAAGTCCGAAGTCGATCCGAGGTCAACTGGTGGAGTTATGTCACTCGCAAGGTATTTTACGTCCTGCAGCAAATTTTCACTGCCGCGCGCTGTGCCGGTCAGGGGATTTCCCCTTTTTGCGTGACACGCCAGGCAGGCCCAGAGCAGTGTGACGTCAGGCACGGATCTGGACCTGTCAGCGCCAAAAAAAATCAGCGCTCTACTGTGAATATTACGAAAATACCAGGAATTCTAACAAATCGGCTCAAAGTGCCGTTTCGTATGTCTGCCGAGCACTATAGCGCCATTGTAGTGGCACTGTAGCGAGTGATGTTTACACCAGTGTGCTCCTCTGGCCAAGAGCTTTCCAGGAAGCCCAAGATTATCAAAATTGATAAAGGGAAACGCAAGTTATGATCCAAACTCCTTCTACACATAGTGTATGTGGCAATTTGGCTGAATAAAGTCGGTCCTGAAAGGGTTAAGAGTAGAGCCCACACGCTCTCTTCCATTAACACTGCAATAATTCAGCTCATTTCACGATATTACTTCCTCCGCGTCATCGAAATTGTCGCAGTTTGACTTTTGATGTAAAACGCGGTATTTACTCACCAGCACTCGTACCAGAGGCAAGGAATCGGACATAGGCGATAGTCATCAGTATAGGGTGACGGCAAAGTTCTATTTTCTGTTATTGGAAGCTGGAATTTTTGAACTAAACGCAATTTCTTCGCTGATGTCGCTGCGCTGGTAATTTCGACTCGCTGAGATCAGTCAGGCGTTGCAGCCTGCACATTTCTCGTGCGCATGGCCATTCACTCAAGCCCCATCACTGTTTTACCTTAGCTGGGGTGAGAATGACTTCGTGGAACAAGTGGCAGCGCTTGGAGAAACATCAAGGGGTCGGCAAACTAAATGCCTGCAACAGCGATAAAATTTGTCGCTCTGGCTGAGACACTCAGTACTAGTACATGATTGTACCTGCAAGAGCCGTGTAGACTCTACACGTAGTGCTAGTGATGCACGCGCAGCTGCCGTACCATGGTATACCAGTGATGCTGAAAAAGAGGGCGTGCTGGACGTGATACTACACTTACCTGCATGAGCTGTGGGCATGCCGCGGCTAAAAAAAGTTCATTTCAAGATCGAGGTGATTCCGCCGACGGTAATCAACCGACCTCGCAACAATCGTGTATTCTTACTAGGCTTCGTTGGTGGTGAAGTAGAAATCATCCAGAGCTAGCAGACGACAAGCATAGCAGCTCTTGTCCTGTGGAGAAATTCAAAGCGTTTGAAATGAGGCGCGACCAACTTTCAACCTTCCTTGAAATATTTCGGAACGATATTTTTGCGTCCATTGACATCAGCGACGATGAGGACTTCATCTCTGCATGACAACTCTCAGTCCACTTGTCCTGGAACGTTACTCTAGTCTTCAGACTATCATACTGTGTAACAAGTTTTGAATGGCTTAGTTTATGGAGTTGTCAGTAACAAGTGACAAGTCACTAGTCAAACTGCGACAATTCCGATGACGCGGAGGAAGTACAACGTTTCGGCAAATTGCCTTCATCAGGTTCACAATGATGTGCAAGAAAGAACAGGATACAAGAAACCCACTGAAAACCAGCAATGAACACATTCATGAAAAGCTGCTCTCTATTGCTATGTGTCCACTATAGATAATAGATATTGGACACCAGAAGGCGAAGGACTTTGCACGCGCTGCTGAGCGTGGTCGCTTATTCCGGTAAGACTGTGTTGTCTGCACTGTGCTGAACACGCATGGGAGGTTATACAGAGTACATGTACTGCAGTGTGCCAGGTGTTTTGCCGTCATGACTGCTGAATATGCATGTGAGATTAGAGTGCTGCAGTGTGCCAGGTGTTTTGCCGTCTTGACTGTTCTGTACGTGCATGGGAGATTAGACAGTGCTGCAGTGTGCCATGGTTTTGCCGACACCATTGGGACATGACTTGACCGCTTTCTAACTCGTGATCGCCTGTGCTTGCACCGGTCATTTGGGACATGCTTTTTCCACTCTCCTATGCACTACTGAACGGCTTGTCCTGTTTGACTCTCACACGTGTCACCTCACGTCTTGCCACGGTGGCATGATATCTTTGTTTATGTGTGTACTTTGGTGTTCAGGTCCCTAATGCAATCGCCAATGGATAACGTCCACTCGAGCATCTCCGGCTATTGCAAAGACCTGCAGCACTTCAACCAGCAGGCAAGTGTGAGTGTCAACTCGTAGGACACACTGTAGTATCGTCTGCAACATTAGCTCATCCCAACCGGATCACTTCCATCCGTCAGGATAGTTTCTCGAAATCCATCTCCGTGTGCTCTTTTTTACTCTTTTGAACTCTTTTTCAAAAACTGAATTGTGTGTGCATGGTGTAGGTAATGTAATTAGACCTTTCCCACACATTTAGTACTCATTCCAGTTTTACTTTCTTGCTAATGTTCTGCACATAGTATGCGTCACTGGTGGTGACAAGCAACCGACAGACACTTCCATCAATGCTCCACATAACTACTTAGTACTTACTGCTCTAAACAAATTGTATATAGCCAGACTATTGTTCTGTGCTGTTCGGATAGGTGCCAAGTAGGAGGATAGGATGAAATGAGAATGTAGGGCTAAATTTTAAAAATTTCTAATCTTTGGATATGACGGCCTAACTTAGTGCTAAAAATAATAGTGATAATGATGGAAATATAATTGATGTGGCCAAATGCTGGCCATATTGCTACAGGATAAAAATTAAAAATGTTTTGAAAAAATATTAGCAAAGGAAGAAAGAAAAGAATTCCAGATAAAATATTTCCTAAATTTGAATGGAGAGACTTTTAAATATCCGCCTCGCCCTTTCGCTAACAGTAATAGTACATTGACTGCATCTGGAGGCTCTCTGCAAAGAGAGGAGAGACTACAGCTTTGCTCGGCCAGCAAAGGTACTGTTCTTCAGCGTCTGTTCGTACGACCAGAACTCGTCGTTGCTGTCACCTACGCAAGCAACACAGCAGACGAGGAATGACAGTGAAGAGACGCACAGACATATTTCATTTCATGCCAACTTGCTACATATTCATAGGGGAGTCAGCTTGTGGCATGCTAGTACAGGTGAATACTGACTGGCTTGATGCTCCTGTCCGGAATCCTTTTGTAATGGCAGCTTGGACACAGCAATGTCTTTGCTCTTTTTAAGTGTAATAGAAGGCGTTTGAGCTAGCAAAGTCATTGCCCTCAAATATTAAATGAAACGGCAAGAAGTGCCTCACTCGCCATTTCTTTAGCACTGGAAACCCCTCACCCGGTAACAAAGCATTAATTAACACCTGTAGACGAGTCACACTTCTATTTCAATTACATCATGCACGTCATCTGAGGGCCGCAGGGGCCGTCGTATGAAACCTTTCACCTCAAGGTATACGGTAGGGTAGAGTGCGCGCGTATGTCCATGTTTCATGCTACACAGGCATGCCTCTCTACCAACACGCAAACTCACACGTCACACATGCTGAATTTTAGATCCTCATGCAGAAACAACAACCATCAGCAAGCCAAGAGGATAAACACTTGCTGAACTCTGATTGGCCGAGGCCGGTTGACCAATCATTTCAGGTGTGAAGTTCACAGCCAGCATAGGCTATAAAAGTAATCATTGCAGGAGGGGACGGTGGTCGGGGTTTGGGATGGCCAGAATTTTAGATTTTCTTCTCCGTACCCTACACAGGCAGGGCCGACCTAATAACTTGCTATGAAAGAGGAGGCAGAAATTGTTCCTGATATACCTACAGTTGCGCTCACTGAAATCCGACCCAACGTGCAAAACTGGCGCACCCTAGACCAGTTAGGATTACATCACTGTGGATGTTTTCGATTTCGACAGCATGTTACAAGGCGAGGACGCATAGTGCTCCTGACTACAACTATAACCCGGTTGGCAGAGTCCTGGTCTTGCAACATGCTGTCGAAATCGAACAACTTTCAAGCAAGGCTTCTATATACCATCACCGTACACGTACTTGTGCATGTGTACGTCCGTCCGCATTCGTACCACTTCCAGGGTGTCCTGGATCGTGCAAATTGAGGGTGCACACTTTGGGCCGGATTTCACCAAGCACAACTAACTGTACAATCATGTATGCAGTGACTAGTGACTGCTGGGTCACACGGCACAGGAATTGCTATGTGCCTGGCTGATGTGCCTGGCTGATGTATTGTGGAAATGGTCTAGATATTTAGCGTATGCAATAGTGACATGCATGCCGCGCACTTACGGACTAGCGCAATGGGTCCTAGGAAGCTGTCCGGCACGCACAGGCCATCCACTAAGCATCGGCAGTGTACACGCACCTATAAGCACAGGCATGGAGAATATAAGACTTACTTAGTAGTGATGACATCCATTCTACCTACACCAGCATCATACAGATAACCATGCTGTTCGGCCAAAATATGCAGCCAGGAATGAAGATGGTGGTGGTGGGTGGTGGTGGGTGGTTATGGTGTGTTTGAGGGATGATTACTACGGTAGTACATAAGCCAGGCGCTGTATTATACCGGACAAGAGGGTACATGTACATTGTTTGCTATAGTCAATTCATCCAAAGTATTCCCGCTGGCTTATAGAAGTCCGGTTTTGACTGAATTGAGACTAAAAATCCTCTTTAAATTCAAAAGATCTGGGTTTGGGATGTGCAACTCCACACCTGTCCTTATTTTGTAAAACCGGGCTGATTTTTAATTCCCTATCTTTGGACTTTTTCCGGCCTCGAATGTGGCTTGTCTTAACGATATCTACATTTAAACGTGGAGGACACCAACAAGTCAGAGTGCTAGTTTAGGATGAATGGAGTGTACAATTGTAGTGAGCTCTCCCCAGACTCAACTGTCACTGCAGTACTGTTCGCCAGGCATGTGTCAGACAGCATGTTGATGTGTCCTGAACTGTGTCAACATACCTCGGCCAGCAGGGCATCGAACTCCTGCCGCATCTCGTCCTGTATGCCAACACTGAGCGAAGACGTTCCACAAAACCTGTGGAGGACCACACCGATCACCAGAATTTTGTTAATGCAAAACCTCTGCATCCTTGCCTTCTAGAACAAACAGTAGATGCACAATTCGTGAAAGGGTGTGACCGAAGGTACCAAACTACATTGCATTTCAAAAATATAGACGCATGATTTCCAAAAGCCACATAAAATCTGTGATTGTTTTGTGCATAAAATTTTTCGAAATTGGGCGTTTGTTATCTGGTCGCTTATGAGAGTAATTGGGAGAAGGACCTGAGCAATATTCGGGGAAAAATTCTCAGAAAGCTCCAGCCAAAATATTTCAAAACTGCCAGGCGTCTATATTTTTGAAATGCACTGTAATTAGTAAGTACCGCATCCTGGTGGGCATGGTTCTGTGACTGGAGATTCCGGGATGTTGGGCGAGTACGCTGTATGTCCTCTGTCACACTCGTGACGCATTCGTTTCACCCTTGCGGAACAAATGGATCGGATCGATATCATTCGGTTTTGTTCAAATGTTGGGCCTGTATTGCGGACATACTAACTTAGTACGACCCGTTACAGTAATGCCGCTGTTTGGGCAAGCTGACTCACCTGGCATCGGCAAGCACCAACCACAATCCGTACAGACTGGCAAGTTTGCTGAGCAGAGTATGGGCTGTCTTGCTCTTCACCGTGCCAATGTCTTCGATAAACCATTGCAGAATTTGTCTGTATTGGCAGTAACGGAATGCAAAAACAGTGACAACAAGAACAGCAGCAGCAGCAACAACAATGAAATACCCACTAGTCAGTCTCGGCAGTCACACCACATGGTCTCCTTGCCGCAAACATCTCTCTATCGTCACCAATCTGTTGGGTATGCATGGCCCATCCTCAGGGTGAAACAATAAAACTATGGACAAACAAGCAAGAAAATATGTTTTCATCAACCACCACACCATAACTGCCCGTTAACGAAGAAAATAGAGTAGACAAACCGTGCTGTGCAGCAGCACAGTGAGAAGAAAATTATGAACAATGATGCATTATGTGAGAAGTAAGAACTCACAGTGCTTCAGCTAATGCTGACACACAATTCTCTTTTTAACTTACCTCTCAAAGAAAGCTTTGCCGCAGTCCACCGCGAGAGAGCCACACGCGTTCCATATCCTGTCATCGACTGAAATAGATGACCAATACAGCGTGCAAGACATACAACGTATGTTAGTCTGTCGTGAACGAACACATCTGGTTGTATGAGCAGTGAGCACAAAACGCCGGCCATGGTGACTGATCAATGTGCTTCCCGCAAACTGGGGCTGAAATTACAAATTAATTTCCAATCAATTTTAAAATCGCTATGGATTGCCAATATCTAGACAAACTTTGCCCAGGTTAGCTAGGGAAACGAGGTCAAAGGTTGCGGACTGACTGTGATAGTAGTCTGTACACAGGACAACGGTTAGAAGAAATACGAAACTAAAAGGCACGCCAATTAAAAAATAATAAATACTACTACTACTACTACCAATTGCAAAACAACCAGAGGCTACGCGCTTGGATAGCCTACCCAGGACGGTGCTAGACCATCAGCTAACAATCACAAGGTAAGTTACATTCACTAACCTTCACTGGCAGGCACATGCTTCACCTTGTCTTGCTCCACTTGTAACTGTTTGGACAGCAGGTCCATGTAGAGTTTCTCCCGCACTTCCAGACAGTTGAGTAGAAACACTGAGAGTGTGCCACAGACAGAACAGAGGTAGTAGCTAAGAACGACAAAGAAAACACCAACACCTACAGGTGCCCGAAAAGTGTAGAGTGATGCCGAAACCTGTCAAAGCCGACCGATCACGGAACCCCCGAATACGGCCCTTGTAGCAGTACAGGTGGTTCCCTTGTCTAGGGTCATGTGAGTGGAAATCACACTTCAGTCCTGCTTGTACTGGTCTGCTGGGACAGGTGGTCGCCGCTTGGCAGGTTCTATTTAAATGTAGATCTCAACCATAATATTATTGTATTGCCAGAGTACCTTTCTTGTTTTCCACCATGTCACACTACATTAGTGAAGAGCCATACCGAGTACATGTGGGTGCAATGGAAGTACTTGATAATTGGCAGCAGCAACAGCAACAACAGCAGCATCAGCTTACCAGGATGCCGTCGAAGAGGTACATCAAAGAGATTGCCCGCATTCACCACCCTGCCAGCGTCGGTGTCACCATCGCTTGCTTGCCACATGACCGGATATCTGAGAGACTGCAAGTCGAGCTGGTCCTGCAGCATGCTATTCTGGTGTGACATCATGCTGTCGGCGGGGAATCCCCTCTTTGCCACGCCCTATGCAGCAAGATAGGGAGAACAAACGCAAGAGAATGTGTGCTTGTTAAACACCTACATTAGGCATAGTACGTTGCTACCTTGCTATACGACCTCTCGGCGGACAAAAGTAGCGGCATCTCGCGTTACTTTAGTGATTGAAGATACAATAGATTCATTCCCATGGACGTGACCCGGTACGCTAGACACATCCATGCTTCTACATCACCGCCACATACCATGCAGCCGTAGCATCAAGGCAGACAACACACTGCAACAGGCAACTAGCCACAGCGGATCATCCCATACCTAGAGCTAGTACAATCCGCGCACCAGCATACAGCCCTTCAACATGAGAACGGCCTGGCCTGTGCCTGATGTAATTTGGTCACCATCCAAGAGTTGTACAGCAGCGAAGAGACCATTGAGTATGATTGTTTGGCTCGTAACTGGCGGCGGCGGAGTTTGAAGAAGCTCTTGGAATTAAGGCGTGTTGTATGGATAATGGTGCACAGCTGGTGTGTGCGTGTGGGGGCCGGGGGGTTAGGTGTGTGTTTGGGGGGTATGATGTTCGGTGGCTCATGTACGAGTACCAAGTAATACTGATACAAGTGTTAACATTCCTGTACATTGTGATAAAGTGAGATGAACGGCATGTATGCATACCTTGCGGTACATCTTCATTAGCTGGCGAGTCGTCAGTGCTAGGAGAACGCAATTATCACCTGCGGGAGCGGAAACAAGATGGAACAGAGCGTAGTGTTGAAGAGCTGGACACATGTACTGTAGGACATTTGAATGTAACATGGCTTGGCATTTACAATAGGAACTGATCATCACAGGAGAATCTTAGTAATCACGGAGACCACACTAGATCATAATGCCCGAAAGTAGGTCAATCTTGACCCCAGGTTAGGAAGTTGTACATGATCCATGGTCTCTACAACAAGCGATCGGGGTGGCGACCTACTGCTGTAAAACACATTCCAATCCAGCAATAGCATACAGCATGTGCACGCATCAACCCCGACTCCCCGCACGTCAAAGCTCGGGCTGCAATCTCTTATAGAATGAAGCGAAGCCCAACGATGTACGGAAACCTTCACAAGTCTGCCCGGCACTGGCTGCCAATATCTCTCTTCATCTCTCCACTTCCTAATTCGTGTACACCCGATGACAGTACATTGTACACAGTGCACTATACATAGTATCGCAAGAGTGCACAAATGAACACGGTACACTTGTACAAGAATGGCTCACCTTCATACGTCAAAGAAGCATCAAAGTCGGCTTTGAGTCGACCTATGTGATTCCAGGATGCATAACCTACGAGCAGCCAGACACGCATACATACACTATAGTCAAGAATCAAAATATTACAACTCCGGTACACTCACAGGGTTGCACGGCAACAGCACGCAGAGCATGTGATGTAAATATTGCCACGGCAACCATTCAAAACGATCTCGAGTAGTGCATCAGTCTCCATGGAAGTATCGATGCAGCACCAGCTACCCAGTACACTGGAGGGACTGATTGCAACCGGGCAAACAGTCTGATGCACAGCATAGGGCTAACACATCAACTGACCAGAGACAGTGCACAATCATACAGGTGCTTCGATGTACAATGAGTTAACATTCAAGCGGGGCTGGGTAAAGGCAGAAATTCCTGCATACGCTGGAGACGTCACCATGTACCAGTACGCTGTTTAAACCACCATACCTAGGCCGCCACAGGCCTCTCTGGACGATTGAATGGCGTCACGAGCAAACCAGCCACCCACCGCCTACAGAAGAGACAGAAAACACAAGCACCCATGCAAACACGCACCTCTGTATCATCTGGTGCTGGAGGCGGAGATATTAGAAATACATATACAATTACTTGTCAGCACACGAAGCACAGACGCTATATCATTTCGACCAGGCCTTTTGTACCATTACTTTTCAAGTTGAATACAAAGGTAGCAAGCAAGTCCTTCTAAGTTATAACCGGCGCTTTGGCGGTCAGAGCACTGACAAAATAGCACTTTAAAAGATAGCGCTAGTGGCGCCAACTACATATTTGGCGGTCAGAGCATTGACCAAATAGCATTTTGAAAGGTAGCGCTAGTGGCGCCAACTACATATTTGGCGGTCAGAGCATTGACCAAATAGCACTTTGAAAGGTAGCGCTAGTGGCGCCAACTACATATTTGGCGGTCAGAGCATTGGCCAAATAGCACTTTGAAAGGTAGCGCTAGTGGCGCCAACTACATAGTGAAACAATGAATATCAAACAACAGTGGGGACCATGGTACTACAATGTCAAAACAGTGACAACTTTCGCACATACATGTACTTCTTTTGCACACAAAAGTTCAGTTAATCACCATTGTATTCGACTTGAAAAGTAATGGTACGAAAGGCCTAGTCGAAACGATAATTATGACTTCTGTGCTTCGTGTGCTGATTTGCTTTCCTCCAACCAAGAATCTATACAATTACTTGTCCAAGCAGTACCCCAAGCAGTACCGTAAGCAGAAATTCGGGATACAAGGCACAGTACCTTGTATCCCGACGTCAGTATGTGAATGGTCTTCATCTGCTGCATGCGCTCCGTGATGTCCTCGCTGCGCTCATTCCACTGCACCTGCACACGATGTGAGGCACACTGCAGTGCGTACCTACACAGTGAACCCAACACCAGCCAGGCAGAAGACATAGACACAGACACAATCATAAGGACACGCAAACAAACAAACACACAAGCGCATGCACGCACACACACGCACACATGCACACACACACATGTCCCTATGTCACTGTAAGAGTCACCGTAAAACAAACACACGCACAGATATCCAAGAGAGCACTGGAAAACTGATAACAGCACCGACACATACACAATCGCTTGAACTTGGCGTGCAGTGATAACACACACACAGCATAGTCATGCACGTATGAACCATGCAACTGCAGTGCAAGATGGTGCGCTTAGCTCAATAGCCCGGGATGCGCTTGGCTTGCTTTGCATTCGCTAGTGGAGAAAACAACCAGTGTTTTAATAGGATTTTCACGGGCTATTCCGGTTAGTGTTGTTACTCACGCCATGGCCAGGTAGGGGAGGAGACGTCGCTGGTGCATGGGGTAGTCCATCAGCAGTATCTCCTCACCATTACCGACTCTGCACAGAGGGTGACATGTACAGAGCATTCAGCACACAAAGACAACATCAAGTTCCCAATGCAAAGCCATGTTGTGATCTGCCGGTCTTCTCGCAAAAGGGGAAAACCATACAGCAAATCGACAGAGAGGGAGGGAAGCAAGGGACGGGAGAAGAGACTTGAATTTCTCTGTTTGTAGACCCAAGCGTTCTGTACACGAGAAAGACGAACATTCGGACAAGAAAGTAGGATAGACACGTTCAAGACCAAGCAATTGACTACAGCACGCATCTTGAATACACATCCACACATGGGACGGTGCTCACCTTCACCCATCAACTTATGCATGTATTTCCACCCCTCTTTCTTGCAAACAGTATTCACACGGGCGAATCTACTAATGCAATATATTACACACTATACATATCTCTTCCCAGGCAACAGTTTCCGCATACACTGCGTACCTGAACTGCCGTCGTGACAAGCCGTATCGAATAGCAGTGCCGACAGTCACTTTGCTAATACTCACGGCCGCACAGATCTGCGTGGAAAGCAAGAAGAAGACTGCTTTGCTTTGCAGTACAGCGACATTTCAACCTGCTGGCTAGCAGTGTTTCTGATGATATTTCCTGATATTTTCATGTCACACACATGATTGTAAGCGTGCATGCCCCACCCCGCATCTAGATAAAACCAGAAAGGGATAGTTCCATGAATGCGCCCAGACCCAAAGTTTCCAACAGCCGCGACGGCCTGTACGTTACACATGGCCTGTACGTTACACATGGCCTGTGCGTTACACATCACGCAACACAAACCGCTGGCCTACTGTAGACGCCGCACAAATCACTGACCTAATCCCTATCCACACCATCACATGCACAAATCACTGACCTAATCCCTATCCACACCATCACATGCACAAATCACTGACCTAATCCCTATCCACACCATCACATGCACAAATCACTGACCTAATCCCCATCCACACCATGACATGCACGGCCAAAACGCTATCGTGGCAAACCCAGACCAGTTCGTCCAGGCACGGGACTAAAACACTCCGTCCAGCAAGCAACAAACAGCACCACGCTACCCTACCAATCACAAAGTACAATAACGGTGGCGAGCGCTATCCGGATCGGCGTACACATGCAGTGCCAAGTACTCATTTCAATTACGGTGTGTATGGGTGCAGGACCACGTTCACTTCAGCTCCGTATGCGCACGTCCGACATTCGCAGTGCCGACTCTCGACTGCAGAGTACCCATTTCAACTACAGTGTGTACGGGCGCTTGGCCTCCAGCACCGTAAGCGAACGTCTGCCCGGACTTCACTTGCCCCAGCTGCGTACCAGTATGCGTATGTACTACTTACAATTGCAATGCGCCCTCGCAGTAACTCAGCCAGACACATGGCAAAACGCAGGTTTCTGTCCTCTGTAATGGCACAGAGGAAATACAACGCACGCAGGACACACATCCATGACTACAGTAGAGAAAACACGCTCTGAGGTGATATGGCTTGGCTCTTCGTAGGGACAGAAAGAAAGCATGGGGCTATTCTAAAAAAGTAGGTCACTAGCCTTCAACTTGCTCCCACAATTTTCAAAATCCTGTTGTCAAAGTTACCCTGCAAAACCAGATTGGTTCTCTTTGCCTTCGATTGCCTTAGTTAAATAAGTCGATGTTCAACCGCATGGAAGTAGTTCTGTTGTCAAGAATTGCTGATGAATGACTGAGCGATCTAAAAGTCATGCACACCCAAGCCACATCCAGGCCATATCCAGTAGCAAGAAACTTTTCGTGTGACATGTGTTCGAAGAGGATAACCTGGCACATTACCATCGCGCAATAGGCCCATTGCGCATTGCCAAATACGGAAGGTATGAGTAAATCATGTGAGTACGCTGGGATAAGTAGATCACTGTTCAACACCCCAGACGACCATGCCCAGGTGGCTGTGTGGGGTGTTTATGGTACAAATTAAGTCATTGCACAATGGACTGATTGGCCTGGTGATGATAGCGGACACGGTCTTACCTATGAAGGATGAGTATGCACCGTCAGCATCAACACCGCCATAGCGACTCAGTAGAGAACCAAGCGGCACACGCACCTTGTCGAACCAAAAGCGGGCGTTGGAAACACCTAACACACACACACAAACACGCATACGCATGGACGCATGCACACACGCGTGCGCACACACACACACACACACACACACACACACACACACACACACACATACAATAGAACAGAATGCAAGCAGACAACAGTGGTGCAATACTCTCTGCTCAGGCCTCAGCCAGATTAGGGTCGACAAATAGAATGAACATATCAAAGTCAAAATTGGTATTACCAGTATGTTGCTAGTAGTTAACACAGTAAACCATGATGCTCACAAACTGTAAGCTGTTCATTCGAAGTTGCTTCGGCTTTTGCAACATTCATAGCACATCATTTTTAACACAGGTATTAAAATGAAACAGCTCCCATCGTACCATTCAAGCCGATCTTGTGGCCTACGTCGGCCACCCTGACACCCGGTCTCAGCTGGCCGGTGTCGTCGCGCAGCCGTACTGTAAAGCCGTGCACTCCGCAAGACTGTCCCTGCGTGTAGAGCTGTGCCATCACCACTGCTATGTGTGCATCAACTGGAGTTGTTAAAAACCAGAACAAAAACGGCATGCGCGGTGAGATCTCGCCTCGCTTCGCCGCACAAGTTCCCATGGATACCTAGAGTACTCGGTAAGAAAATAAATTGCCTGCGAGACTAGCTGCTAGCGAAACATGAACAAATCGCAATGCCCATGTCCTAGACAAGGGGAGCTGGATATACTGGGAAACAGTGGAAATGGAGACATGTATTGTATTGTATGTGACGTGCTCACTGAACGACGGGCCCGCGTGCCAAGCAGTTTCTGAATTGCACGTATTCACAGTTGGCGCCAGAGTCAGCCAGACTGACATTTGGCGCCTTGCAACCTTACCTCCACCGCCGATCCAGAATTTCTGTGCCGAGTTGCTAGGGGTGTGGATGACAAACTCCTTCGTGCTTGGATCAAACGTTGCCATGGTCTCCAGATCTGGACGTGGTGGCGTGCGGGGATAAAAAGATAGTTAAAAAAAGAACGGTAATGAGATGGTGCTTACAAAAGATGTGAGATGGGCTTGCAGTCCGAATCAGCAGCCCAGGTTACTGATCTGCCTAAAAGTGTCACTGCTCATTCGCAATCTCCGGTACATAATTGAGCTCCTTGTGTCGGCCAAGGTGTTCTTCTTCACTTGATAAGACGAAAGCACATGTGCTGCACAAAGTGGCTGATCTTGCAAAGGTAAATGATGCCTAACGTCATCGAGGGAAGTTTGTAAATAGAAAAGGACCTATAAGTTACTAGTTACTGTATGGCTAACAGTCCACCAAGGTCCACTTATAGGTCCTTTTCTATTTACAATCATATTACTATTGGCTCAACATCCGAGGGAAGTTTGATCAAGAATATACCAAGAGAAAAGAAAAGAGCGGTGGCATGTGGAAGAGTTACAATGTACAGTTGTGCTTGGTGAAATCTGACCCAAGGGAAAGGTGGTGCCCTGGACCAGTTCACATGACATCACTGCATTTATACATGTGTATGCTCCCGCAGCAACACCCATCCCACGTCTAGGCCGTCACAGGCTGTGCAAGCTAACGTTAGGGGCGTCAAATACGCAATCTGGGTCGGATTTCAGCGAGCACAACTGAACATGTCTGACTGTACATGTATTGTAACGGCCATGAGCCTCTCTACACGCACCCTCCAATACACAGCACTCGTTACACTGACCTCGTACATTCGAGCCATGGCCAAGCTCCGTCATAGCAAAGCATCCGCGATGCTTGCAGGAAACGAGACCAGGTATCAGCTCCTCTGCAAATACAACAGCATGCATGCACAGTGCATGTATAGTACACGTGGAACACATAAGAAGACAAAAATCCCCTGGCATAGGAAAATCCCCTCGGCTAGGGAGATCACGTGGGATAGGGAAATCCCCTGGAATAGGGAAATCTCCTCGGCTTAGGATATAATATCACCCAGGATAGGGAAATCCCCAGGGATAAGCTTGCTATTCTGAACGGTGAGCTTCAGCTCCTCAGAGTTGCATTCATGAACCTAGCTAAGCAGTGCACAGTAGCAGGCATGGAGATGCACAAAGCAAACATGACCCCGGCAACGCACAGCCCACCAATAGAACTTCAAGCAGTAAGGCGGGTGAGGATCACACACATGACTCGGACTCTTCAATACGGCCACACACACAGCATATGCACGTGCCCATGAAACAAATCTATGCAAGCATCACACCATGAAAACTGAACACGCATCCTATGCTAATGCATAGAAAGAGCAGAAAGAAAGCCGCAACGCTCACCCCGCTGCTCGTCCGTTCCCATGGTAATGATGGCTCCAACACACAGGCCCTGTGCAAAGACAAAGGCAAAGAGCAGGAAACACACACATGGGTTCGGGCCGGGCTGGGCTGTTGGTTCCAGCTGAGTTGGTTGTGAGTGGGCTGTTGGGTCCAGTTGGGTTGGTTGTGGGTGGGTTGTCGGTTCTGCTTGCTCAGTGAGGCGTAGGTCATTTCTAGGTGGCTCGGGTTACTCGATTTTTTTCTGACAATTGGCTATGTGGCCAGGTGTGGCTCTGCGGCTCGTGGTTGCAGCTTTACTGGAAACTTGTGGAAAACCCACGTCTTCATCCACAAACTGCTGCCACACTCTGGCATTTTCCGTCTCTGCAGATGTGGTGAAGGTGGGGCCTTCAGTCGAAGAACTACGTGTACATGTATGCCAACCAGCTGTGTTTGTGTGTTTGAAGGTAGACCAGCTGAAAGCCTGAAACGTATCCCATCAGGCTAGCATACCTACTGTACGCGTGGCAGCCATACCAATTAAATGCAGTAGCGAAGAGATGAGCTCATTGGGATCTCCTGGAGATATGGCTGCCAGGTGGCCTGAGGCAGTGAGGCAGGAGTTAGCAAGTCTGGACGAAGCCACTACAAATGTGGTTTGGGTTGTGGCGTGAGCTCCGCTTCTATAAAAAGAGTACTGGTAAGGGGCCATCCAGCATTTATGGATAATTTTCACGGAACGAAAATTTTAGTTATGCCACTAATAGTACAAGCTGCATGACACAATGTATGCAGCAACTCTTACCAGCTGTGCACCAAGCATAGTGGCTAGTGACATGTCGTGCATGCTCAGCGACTCTAGCCAGGCCCACAGGTTCATGTTCTGCTCCTTGCTGGGCCTGCACAAGAGACAAGAGGCCATAGCACAGACACTGTTAAATACAGTCAACTTCGCTAATAACGACTACTGCGGATATAACGACAATTCGCGAAAAACGACAGAATCTCCATGCCCAGAGCAAAGTCCCATCCAACTGTAATACATATAATGAGACTTCGGGTATAACGACACTTCGCGAATAAGGACACTTTTCTGATGCCCCGCTGAGTGTCGTTATAAGCAAAGTTGACTGTATATTCATAAACAACCAATTAACTACAGTAGTGCCGGGTGCCGAAGAACTGGGCGATCAGCCTCCTAGCCCAGGCTGCTCTTATTTGCGCGCACAGCAGTCTATGCGCAGTGGAGAACCTGTGTATATAACGGTATACTGTGCTTGGTGAAATGCTAGCTAGTTCGTTCTTTGGCAGCTGGCAGTCCCTGTAGAGCACTGGAGTGTAGTGAGGATGCATGGTTACCATGAACTAGAGCCCATGTCAAATGATCAAAACGCTTCCATTGCTGGCACACGTTTACAAAACATTTCCGTGCACTTTCATCATCAGTGGTAGACAGCTACCTGTACTACTTATGAAGACAAGGCAGGCTATGACCATGGCAGTTTGTGTATTGATCCAACGCAAATGAATGTCAAAGGGCGATGCATCTGAAAGCACATACATACATACATACATACATACATACATACATACATACATACATGCGGGTAGACACACACACACACACACCACACACACATACACACACATACACACACACACACAGTCACACACATACACGCACACACGCGTGCACACACACACCTACACACATACACACACTACGTACCACGGAACGCGCATTAGATCCATCATGCCCAGCTCAGCCACACGCTCCATGCGTCGCCACGCATTGTCACGCTGGACATGCATGTGAAGATCAGGCTGTAGGGGACTGAACGGTGGCTGCAGCAGAAGCTTGAACACACGCTGGCGCTCATCCTGATTATGACGTTCTGCAGCCAGCCAGCCAGCCAGCCACAGCCAAGAACACAACGAGAAAAAGGGAAATACGACGCGCGCACAACGCACATGATAGTGGTATGAAGAAGCACAGCATGCCAAGAAGAAAGTTCCGCAATAATTCGTTACACAGCATCCTGTTCCGATGCAAACAAGTCCTTCAGTATACTTTGAGATGATGTCCTAATTGGGACATGATGGTAAATGCATAACCATGTGCACTGAAGACAGCAAAAGCACGGGAGGTCGACGAAGGCATTGTACTTTTAGAATAGGGTGCTCTCCAACTGGTGTGTGTGTACGCATGTACGCACGTGCACGCACACACATGCACATATGCACGCACGCACATAGAGAATCTGATGATTGTTTCGTACACGAAACTTGAAATCATAGCCAAACAGGTGCCCGTCTTGTGCGCGCAAGTGTGTGTGTGTGTGTGTGTGTGTGTGTGTGTGCGTATGTGTGTGCGCGTACGTGCGTGTGTGCGCGCGAGCGTGTGTGTGTGTGAATGTGTCTATGGCATATACATTACTCTGCACTCTAGTGAAATTAGCACTCCATTCGAGCTGCCTCGACCGTGTGAATACCGAGAGAGTAGGCATATTGGACTTTGGGTTCCGATCCGCAGCTTATATCGACCATTGTTAGCAAACACAGAAAGCATCAAGCATACCCACTGACAAACCGCTATCTTCAGATAATCCTACTCCTCTGTTTGTTCCCCCAGGTTCCACTACTGTAAAGTGAGAAACTTTCGCTAGAGATTAAATTTCGCTATTTTCGCGACCATCACACATTCGCGAATATAAATCTTCGTAAACCTCTCCGTACACTGATTGTAGACAGCACAAGATCCGATTGAAAAGATACCGTAGAATCGCAAACGTTTCTCATCGTGAACCAGCCCGATTTATGAAAACGCTAAATTTGCACGCCGCGAAAGTTTGTCGCTTTACAGTATTCAGGGGAGAGCACAACCGTGGACCAACTGGTCAGTCAAGTCACTTACCAATAAACTGCTGCAGCTCGGCGACTACTCCTGGCATACCACCACCCACTTGAGATGTAAACAAAACGGAAAGAAAACAAACCACAGCATAAGGTATTCGGCTACCAGTAGTACATCTACCATCACAATCGCATTGAATCTACAGCATGTATACCCAAAGAGCACGACAAGAAGCACACGGAAGGAAGGATGGCAGTCAGTTAGTGTTGTAGAGCAAGGTTGCAAATTTTGCGTGTGTCTCCCCGTGTAGTGTCCAGGCTATCCCCACCCAGACAAGCCTCTGTCGCTGCGAGATGGCAAATACGACAAGCATCTCTCCATTGGCTGACGCCCAGATGATCAAACTGCTTTGTACGCTTCCGGGCATTGAACGGAATGTCTTGGACATTGTCAAATGTGCTCGCGAACCTGTCAAGTGCAGCCCAATTTTTCTTTCTTTTCTGTAGTCTTTCGTTCCTGCGGAGCACTGAAGCCGAGAACCTATTGTCGGCAAAGCTGCCCCTGCCTCTACCCCACTCCTGCCATTCCATTTGCCCCATCTCTGCCTTGCTGCTTTCGCCGTCCAAAGGTGTGCGAGGTTATCTGTAAAAAAAGTCCCGCCGTGTAAAGTCCAGTCCTGGAATCCAAGCAGACATTCATGCATGCCAAAACTCGGCCAGGGAAAGAGGCGGAGAGTTTTCGCCCTCAAAAACCTCTGTTTTAATTAAGCTTCCGTTATAAGCCAGCGGCAGCATCGTCACCAGCACCAACATCTGCCACCTACACTATGGAGGGTCTACCTCTTCCTAATATTGACATCCTCAAACATCTGGGAGTTCGCTTCAATGCAGACCTAAACTTCCATCAACACTACCTAGACATCAGCCGCAAATTCAAGCAAAGAGTAAGCCTACTTTGTCACATGGCACATCGTCTTACACCGCAGGCCATGATGCTCCTCTACAAGTGCTATGTTAGACCTGTGATTGAGTATGGTGTCGTAGTGTGGTCCTTTCGTCTTCGTTCAAGCGACTTGACTGAGCTGGATAGAGTCCAGGCCAGGTTTGCAAGATCCTACCTTAGGAAACGCAAAATCCGAATCGACACACCCAAGCAGGATCTTAATAAAAAAGCTAACATTGAATCTCTTCTTTACCGCAGGCAGTTTATAAGCTTAGTTACCATGCACAAATTTATTTTCAGGTATAGACGTTTGTGAGAGCATGCATGGTATTCGTTGCTCTAACTTCTGTCTTACATTCCTTGTTGCACCCGCCGGCTACCATGGCTCATTGATGGTCTCCCGACATGTAATACATTCCCTTTGACTGTGTGTCACCGCCAGATCCTTTTACTTCTGGTGTCCGTTTCATGTTCATCTATTGCTTCGATCCCAGTGCCATTTCTTGGGCATGGGACAGCGCTGCCAAGCGTTTGTGTCCGGATGCAGCAGCTGTCAAGCCACCAACCCACGCCGCGGAGAGGCGACCGAGCCCACTCGTCCGGTATCAGCCAACGGTCCCTGGACTCGTCCGGTATCAGCCAACGGCCCCTGGGATGTGGGGCACATCGATACCCTCGAGCTCGGCGTTAACCGGTCCGGGCGTTACCACTGCGTGTTGGTATGCGTGGATGCATTCACCAAGTGGGTCGAGGTGGTTCCCCTCAAGCGTCATGACGGCATCTGTGTGGCTAGAGCTTTCGTCGACGTGTGCTCTCGGTGGGGTCCTCCTCGCGTGGTTCGATCCGACAACGGCACAGAGTTCAAGAACGCTGTCATGTCTTCCGTCTACGAGGCGTTCGGCGTTCATGTCTGCTACGGCGCAGCACGTCATCCCCAGTCGCAAGGCGTGGCCGAGAGGTTCAACCAAACCCTGTTGACCCTCGTGCGGAAGGTTCTGGATGAGGCGCACGACTGGGAACAGGAGCTGGCGATGCTCCTGTACTACTATCGGATCCGGCCGCACAGCGCCACCAACGTCTCCCCGATAGAGGCCATGGTTGGTTGGCATCCCCGTGGCTTGGTCGTGGATCGGCCTCAGCACTCGTATTCGGCTGGCTCATGGGTAGACGACCTCCAGCAGCGGCGATGCGAGACTACATCGAGTCTGCGCTCGGCCGCTTCGACTTCATCGACGAGCCGACACCGAGCCGCTTGACTGTTGGCGATGCGGTCATGCTTCGCCGGCCTCAGCGCTGCCAGAAGCGCCTAACCCCGTACGAGCCTGGTTGGCAAGTTATGTCGATCGTGGGCCCCTCGACGGTGGTGGTTCATCGGGTCGACGGCACCGGCCGTGACAAGATCGTGAATGTCGACTTGTTAAGGCGTGCCGCCGAGGACGATCTGCCGCCGCCGCCGCCCGTCGCTCCGGGTGCCAGCGATGAAGCCGAGTCGGGCCCTGTTCCGTCTCTGGTATTGAGCGTTGACCCGGTCACGCCACCGCCGCCTGCTGCAGGCCCATCATTGCGCGCCCGGTCTACGCTCGTGCGACCTGCTCGATATTCATGATTATGTTGTAGCTATTCGGTAGTGACATGAGTCACTAAGGGGTGATGTGAGAGCATGCATGGTATTCGTTGCTCTAACTTCTGTCTTACATTCCTTGTTGCACCCGCCGGCTACCATAGATCATTGATGGTCTCCCGACATGTAATACATTCCCTTTGACTGTGTGTCACCGCCAGATCCTTTTACTTCTGGTGTCCGTTTCATGTTCATCTATTGCTCGCTTGCGCGCTGGCATGCAACTGGCGTGCTCTCATGCGTACAGTGCGTACAACAAAGAACTACGTCAGTTCCAGTTAGTTTTTTAGAGTTGGCCGTGGAACAAACTTGTGTTTTTCGCTCTCCCACATTCTCTGCTTCTTCTCCAATAATTATATGAACACTGTTCGCCAAAGAACTCGTTGTGGACGTTGTTGCGAGTGCGTGTCCGGGAGTGAGTTGGGGCGGTCGTGATTATCTAACACGTTGCCTAGCTTCATTCCATTTCAATATCACGCAGAGTGCGAGACGCCCAAACAAAATTATTCTCCCTAAAGCAAAGACCACATCAAAATCGTTGTTTCTCTTCCAAACCTCCCTCTTATGGAACTGCCTCCCACCAAGACTAACCGCAGAACCATCCATTATTGTTTTCAAGAATAAGCTTCGCAAACTCACTTGCATACATAGTACTTCGCTCTCCGGTATGCCCACACCATGTACATACCCCCCCCCCCCCCTTTGGTCGGTGTACGAGATGCACGAACAGTTTTCGTAGGGTGAGTACTTTTTCATGTAGTACTGAATGCGGCAAGTAGGACTCGCCCATCCGCCCCTCCCCACCTGAAGCGTCGAGGAGGTAGGGGTGCTCTGGCGGGATTTTACGGTATTATTAAAGCGGCCCTATGCCAAAGCGGCTGTCCGTAACAATTTTACTTTTTAAAACAAAATATTGTAATGGCGGTGTGGTGGTGGTGGGGGGGGGGGGGGGGTTGAAGTGTTGTTCGCTTCATCACCGCTGATGTGGGATTCACACAAGGGTTTGCGATGCGACAGCCGAAAAACCGGGAAAACCCCAGATCTCCCCTCTCTTATACACAACCACCGCAATTGCAGAAGTTAATCTTGGACGTCTACTTTCATGATGCAACTCAATGCGATGTAAGCTTTGGACTGTCTTTCAAGCGATCCCGGTACACTAGATTCAAGAGCTGCTGGTACTTTAATTGAAGTAGCTAGGTGAATGCCAGCGAGTCAGCCGAGCGCACACGCCTGTAATGCCATACAGGTCAACCCTCCCCCTCCCGGTGCTTCCGGAGAAATCCCTGGAAAACAACAATACTCCCGGGATTCCGGGGATTTCAAGCAAACTCCCAGAAAGTCACATTTTTTGTCTGATCCAGGTTTTTCCTGAAAACTCCAGTGACTCGCGCCTCCAATGTGCGGGTTTTTTTTCAAAAAATATGTACGCTGTGCACTCGCACTTCGAACTCTGCATGGCACTTTCAAGACCTGATCAGCCTAGCTTACATGATCTGCACCGACAGGCACGCTAGGCGCCCGCCGAGGCGCCGACTGATCGAACAGCAATGCAAGGTCGAGCCGTGCTGTTTAGAGTCCAGAATCCTGTGCCGTCGAATGTTTTTTTGGTGGGTAAAGCTCTTTTTCATGTGCGTTGTGCCATCCAGGGATTTTGAGAGAATTCCAGTGATTCCGCATGTCTTGTCAAGGGATTTATATTGTTTTGTGGCTGGTCAGTATGCAATGCGCTTTCAGAAAAAAATCAACACGGCAACGGTCACTCTGCTGAGTCTTTTTGTGAATGGTGACTTCACAACCTCAACATGATCATTTGCGGGCATTATTATTATTATTATTATAAGCACGTCCGCGTTGCTGGGGCCCCCATTGGATGGAGGTTGCCCAGGTTCGCATGTGCCAAACTGATTATGCCAACGCCTCATGACGAAAACATACATACTTCAAGGGCGTCGGAACCGCACCGGCCGGGGCGGCCATGGCCGCCCCACTTTTTCGGCCGTTTTTTTTTTTTTTTTTTTTTTTTAGCACACTGCAACAAAGCGCGATGATCTCAGCGCAAACGTGGCAAATCCTTGTCCCCGATCGTGGTTTGTTGCAGAATCAAAAGTCCATGTACACTGAAATGGCACCAAATGCCTGGGAATGCTTGCAATTGGCTTCAATTTTTGAATTTTTTTCCCGGGGGAGGGTAATGTTTGTCCCCGATCGTAGCATCTTCTTGGTTTTTTGCAGAATCAAAAAGTCTTTCATTGTAGTTACCGTACACTGAAATGGCACCAAATGCCCGGAAATGCTTGCAATTGGCTTTAATTTTTGAAATTTTTTCCCGGGGGAGGACCCCCGGACCCCCCCCTTCCATGGCCGTCCCACTTCCAAAGTCGTTCCGACGCGCCTGTACTTGCAGGCATTACACACCGTAAACACAACCTTCTGTGAAACACACATTTTAGCTTTGGTTGGGGGGGGGGAGGTGTACTGAGCTGTATGCACAAAATTTCATTTTGAAAAAATAATCGGTATTTTTACGAACAATCCCTGTTTTTCAAACTAACTAAAAATAATAATTAGGCAATAGTACGCATGCATTGGCGGACCTCAACTACCAAGTAAAGTGTAATGCATTAATGGTACAGTACTCGTACTGGAGTTCAGCTTTTACATCGTGGGAGATCAGATATTGCAAGTGGATAACAGCTACAGCACGCTTACGATCCATGGATGCCACAGGTTTTTCGTCCATGGTGATCGTCTCCACAGCCAGGACCGCTCCGCGATACACACGCCCAACAACAAAAACCCTTTGACGTGTTTTGACTTCACCCTCGCCTCGCACAGGAAACTAATAGCTTCAACAAAAGGCGAATGCGTACTAATAACAAACAGTGAAACTGATCACAGTGTTTGTTGAAGTAACTGTTGCTACATTAGCCACTACATCACTCATCAGTACAGTCATACTTTGTGACAGGACTGGCATGCAGGAGATAATAGCAATAAAAACTGCTTTATGGCAGTTTTCTAAAAAAGTTATTGTGTTCTAGTCCATGGACCCCGTCTAAAAAGTAAGAAATTAAGGTGGCACTATGCCTTCAGAAGGTCAAAAATGAAAATCTCTCAGAAAGCGTCGAAAACTATCTCAAACGATAGCTCTTGTGCTGAAGCACGACTCCTGAAGATTTGAGGGGATTCGCTCAAAGGACTTCAGAGATAGAGCATTTCAAAGATCGAGATAGACCTGCAAATTTCACAATTTTGATTTTGCAATTGGTTCTTTTCGTTTTTGAACGCAATCAATCGTGTTATGATAAAAACCTTCCTTGATGTAGTTCAAATTTTGTGGAAATCTCAGGAGCAGTGCGCGGAGTGATTTGGCGACCTCTGCGCATGGGTTTGGTTACCATGACAGCCGTCAGAGTGATTGCGCATGCGCAAATTCAAATTTGATTCAAATAAATTATTTGATGGAAACGTCTTTGTTGTTTCGTTCTGTACTAGCTGTGACAATTGTACAAGCTTGCAGGCGTTGTTTTTCTATTGCGATGGGGAAGAAGCGAGCTCAAGGCCGACCAGGCAGACCCAGAAAGAGAAAATTTCATGGAAATCAACCGGCGCTGAGAGCCGAATCGGAAGATGAAGCTGCAGCATGTGCGCCAGAAAATCTTGACGATTCTCTGCCAAATTTCAACGATTATTTGCCTTCTAGTTCTGATGATGCTGAGATTTCTTCCGAGGATGACCTGAGCACAAGCGATTCGAATTCGGGATCCAGTTCAGACTCGGACGATGACAATGATGCAGAACTACCTCATGGATTCAGGCTCGTCGACTTGGTGTGCCTTCAAACTCTTTTGTTGGCTTCTGTGTGTTGCAAAATTTTTCATGCACCAGTCACTCTGAGTGAGCCGAAGAGGCAAGGGCTTGCATCCTGCCTGGAGCTGACCTGTCAAACCTGTGAAGCTCACACATCGCAGTATATGTCAGACAAACATAAGCGTGTTTGGGATGTAAACCGACGAGCTGTGTTTGGCATGCGCTGGATCGGTCGCGGGCACGGAGCAATGCTGAAGTTGGGAGCTGCTTTGAATATGCCTGTGCCCATGACCTTCTCCGCATACCAAGGACATGCCAAGGCTCTACACAAATCGGCCAAGGTTGTTGCTGAGCATAGCATGAGTGCGGCAGCGACACAAGTCTTGGACAATGCACCTGGAGATGTCGTTATTGCCGACACTGCCGTTACGTATGACGGAACCTGGATGCGCAGAGGCTATGCATCGCTGTATGGTGTTTTTGTGGCCATGGCATGGGGCACAGGCAAAGTCCTTGACGTTGAAGTTCTATCCCGATTCTGCCACCAGTGCGCCCACTTCAAGAACCAGCATGCAAAGAAAGAGTTGACAAATGCTGAACTGCAGGACAAGCTGGACAACCATGAATGCCGTGCCAACACCCAGAGCTCAGCACCCGCAATGGAATGTGAAGCTGCCCTGAAGATATGGAGGAGATCCAGAGAAACGAGGAAGCTTCGGTACAGTGTCTTTATAAGGGACGGAGATACAAAGAGTTTCAAGGCAGTGCATGACTCATATCCATACGGCGAAGACGTGGAGATCACAAAAGAAGAATGCGTGGGCCATGTTCAAAACGCGTTGGACATCGGTTGCGGAAGCTGAAGAAGGACCTCTCTGGGAAGAAGTTGGCTGATGGTGGCAGGATCAGTGGTCGTGGTCGTCTCACAGACCAACTTATAGACAAACTACAATCCTACTATGGTATGGCTGTGCGCAGCAACAAGGGCGACCTACAGTCCATGGCCAAAGCCATATGGGCTTCCGTGATGCACCGAGTGTCAACTGATGAGAAGCCCCAACATCTGCACTGCCCGCCGGGACTGGAGAGCTGGTGCAAGTGGCAGCAACAGCAAGCTGGTGGACCGTCTTACGAGCACCACAACGTCATACCTGAAGCAATCTTCTCTGTAATCAAGCCGATCTTCATGGACCTGTCCGCACGCCCACTACTCGAGCGCTGTATGCGTGGCGCCACACAAAACCAGAACGAATGCTTCAACGGAATTGTGTGGCAGCTCTGCCCCAAGACAAGCTTCTGCTCCGCTCTGACTGTAGAAACTGCAGTCTACATTGCAACAAGCTGGTTCAACGATGGTGCTGCAAGCATTGAGATGCTATTCTGCAAGATGGGTCTACCCGTAGGCAAATACACCGCCTCCACCAGTGTGCTGTTGGATGCCAAGAGAAGGTCAGGTGCAGCCAGAAAGCAGTTGGGGCACATCAAGCTGTCCAGGAAAAAGCGCAGGAGGTTGAGGAAGGGTGGACAGGATGCAGCAGAAGAGATAGAAGGCACTCCCTATGTGGCAGGTGGTCACTAATACATCATCATGCTGTGAAATGCTGAGATTTGGAGTGCCTTTTTTCTCCTATTTTAGGGGTGTTCCGCAGCTTCTAACCACGATTGCAGGATGCCAGTGCATGCCACACCCCACAATGTATATATTCTGAACTCTGTGACATGTTTGGCTAGGTGCTAAACCAATTGTTCCATGCATTACTGCAAGTTTTATGATGTTTTTACCTCATTGAAGGAGGCGTTGTCAATGTGCGCGAATTTGTATATCTCTTGCTCTGGGTACTGTGTTTCTCCTTGTCAACAGATCAATCCTTTCTTTGGTTTAGCACCTCAAGTTATATAGTAGCAATTGTGTTTTGCAACTTGTTCCTCTCTTCTCTACATGGTTTTCTTCATTTTGCGGTTAGAGCTCAGTATGCGTGATTTTTCGAAGAATTTCTAATTTGTACATAGAGTGACCAGTTTGGTTCATTGGCATGTGCTCAGAGTGCGGTGTGATATGTTAGAAGAAAGCACAGAAAATTTTGTGCAATTCCAATGAGGGAGACTGAAGTTACGTCCCGTTTGCCGATGCCGGTCCGCGAAGGCATAGTCCCACCTTAACGAAATGTGATAGCCGAAAATTAAAATTTCACACAAAACCTCACAATAATCACAACACTTGAAATGCTGCTTTCAACACTAAACTCGTACTGCACATTCATTATTGGCAACATGCATGCATAGGAAAGAGGATCACGAGGGGAAAAGGTCTTCTACGTACATGTAGCTTTTCATTCTGTGTGTGATTATTGTGAGGTTTTGTGTGAAATTTTAATTTTCGGCTATCACATTTCGTTAATTTCTTACTTTTTAGACGGGGTCCATGGACTAGAACACAATAACCTTTTTTAGAAAACTGCCATAAAGCAGTTTTTATTGCTATAATTTCTTTTGTTTTTTCTGTCACCAATCAATGGAATGCCCTATATCAATATGTAAATGATGGCCTTCACATCATATCAATATCGTATTATACGCATTGATGTGCAAGCCTTTTCTTGCAGAAAATGGCACTAGCATAATGCATGTTCTTCTGCGGGGAAACATGTGAGTAGTGGTCTGGTGGTGGTGATACTTTTTTTATACGGAGGTCATTCTGTGCATGTTGCAGCTTGCTGTTGCAGAATTTCATGACTCTGTCATAAAAATTGTCTTGCCTTTCAGATATTTCAGATTTCCCCACCCTCGATCAGATTTATTTGAGAAATGTAGCCAGGTGCGTGTCGCAGATGATTTTGTTGATTCTGTGTTTATAATGGTTTACATGTATAATCATGAGTTATTGTGATAAGGTCATCCTGCATCATATTTCACTGAAATGGTAATCCTGTTGATGTCGATACAACTTTTGGAAGTAGTTCAATGACAGGATCGCTTTTCTAAATACAAGCGTCGTACTTCAAGTAAAAATAATAACGTTTCTCTATAATTGCTCTGACTTGAGACTCAAATTCAAAACTACTAGTACTACAGTACTAGTATTTAGTACTAGTAATACTATGCAGTGATGCCGCTGACGCGCTGTTGTACATGTAGGTTCAACAGGCCACAGGTAAAGACTTTTGCTGTAGTTTTGGTAGTCACTGCCACCATGGCCACTGCAGTGGTCAACAAAACGAGGATGCACGACGATCCGGAGGACATGATGTAGTTGACCATCACATTCGGTAACCATGGTTAGGCCACCCTTTCTTTTTTCGTTGTTTAACGTCCGCGCCCGCGTACCTTTTTGCCTCCGACCGGAAAAAAAAACAAGAAAGTAGTAGTACCAATAATATGCGAAGTTGTAAATACATGATTGTGTAGTTTCACAGTGTGCCGATCATGACCTTAAACTTATAATCTTGCCTTCCGGGCATGCCTTTGTCTTGTGTTCTTTTTCTTTTTTTTGTTGGCTTTTAACTATGTTACTAGTACATACACAAATAGGAGATCCCCCAGATAGGCGTTAGCCTTTGGGTAATCCTGAAATAAAGATTACTATTATATTATACTAGCAGCACCACCGGCCAGCGTTGCCTGGCCGAATGTGGCATGCGGGTGAAGCAAGTACGTGAACAGCACACGTGCTCAGCACGTGGTGGTGGCCAGACCGCTGAAGTCCTGGTGAGGGAGGTTCTTCATCGTTGGAAGAAGAAGGAGGGACGTCTGTTACGCCTTCAGGAGGCTGGTCAGGGTTGTCCATCACCTGGTGGCCGATGAAGCGGCTCAAAAAATTCATAAACTTACGAACAAATGTGCGATGCGCTCTTCACTGCAGATCAGATGCAGAGTGCAGTCAGTGCAGATCTTTTGTATCCTTTTTATTTGTTGCAGATGTTTCTATTTGCAGAGAACGGTTCACGTGGTCCGCAGCGCTTGTGCGGCTGCTAGTGCTACCTGAATAGTATGGCCTAGGCTAGGTGGCTACATGATTCGCACGCTTCGCGTGCTCGGTGCTTCTGCGCGCGGCTGCTACTGCATGCTACTCGTACTGATCGTGTCTGCTACCGGTACCACCTACACTGTTCGCACACTTCGCGTGCTCAGCACGTGGTGG